GTTTAGCGCTGTTTCGGTTAGCGCTCTTTTATTTCAACCCGGGGATTCCACGAAATCGCTCGCAGCGTACGGGGATTCCCCGAAATATTATGCAGTGATAGGGTTTCAAATACATATCCGAAAGAGTGTACTTGTATTTCTTGGTATTTCTTGCGGTATTGTACAGACATATTTTGAAGGGGTAAATGTGGAAGATGTCGAAGAAATAATTCAAGAAGCAGCGGCTAGTCTTTCTAATGATGAGCTCAAGGATTAACTGAACAAGAAACAAAAAAAAAAAAATGTTGACAGCAGTGATTCAGAAGAAGAGCAAAAAGAACTTTCGATGGCGTTTGTAAAAAGGAGTTTGTCTACCATAACTGAAATAATGGATCAATTCATTGAAAATGATCCGAATTTTGACAGGAGCTCAAAAGTAAGGCGTGTGTTAGAGATGCTCTATCCGTTTATGAAGAACTTTTAAGAGAAACAACGCAAAAGAAAAAGGCAAACAACATTAGATGCTTTTTTGTCACAAAAAGGTAGGACACTGAAAACGCGGAAGGCTAACTAATATGACTGACTGAGAATTTTTTTTTTTTTTTTTTTTAAGAATATTCGTTTTGTTATTTAATTACCACATTATTAGTAATAATGTGGTATTAATTTGGGCTTTAAGAAATAAATATTTGGTTTTATTTTTATTAAAAAAACATACTTTTTAAATTTAATACCTAACCAATTTCCTAGCCATCTTCCCCTAACCCCAATATTTACATGTAAAGATAGCCTCGTTTAGCGCTGTTTCGCATTACGCTCTACTTTGATGGAACGTATCCCCCGCGTTAAGCGGGGTCTTACTGTACATATTTTGTAAAGCTTACCAATTTTTGATTAACAAAGTCTACCATTTAAAAGCAAGCAGTAGCAACACTTTTCAAAATAAAGGATTTTTATCGCCAACGCACAACACTGTTGCCACTCGGAAAAATGAGTGCGAAAATGAGTGTTTTCAGGGTTTTTAATTAATATTTCGGTTGATTAAATTCTTACAAAGACGGGAATATTCGAAATGGCTTCGCACGAATTTTTGTAATCGGGAATAATGTATGTAATGTTTGGCAATGATATTTTTATTAAAGCTTAGAATTTTTTTTCTAGTTTACAAACTCTAGGATTTGAAAGCGATGCGAGATTGTTGCCACTCGAAAAAATGAGGGCGAAAATTATCGTTTTTTCCGAGTTTTTAATTAATATCTCTGATTTTAGTTTTATTTTTATTTATTTTTTTTATTTTTATTTATATTTTTTTTTAATTTATTTTTTATTTTATTTTATTTTTTATTTTTAAAGCGGGACATCGATCTTTTCCAGGACCCAGAAAAGAATCGTACAAAGTTTGACGATAGCTATAGTAGTGACTGAGTTACTAGAGGACAAACAAACATACTTTCTTCTTTATATGTATAGATGACAAAGCGCTCCAGGTTATTTGCTAACAAGGGGGATGCCTTCGTGAAGGATTTTCTAAGGGAAACTGGCTCGTATATATGTTAACATGGGAAAACCACGAAAAGGCCCACTTACTACAGAAGGTTTTTCTGCTGTCCCCAATGCAGGAAGGATATGGAGGTTGCACCTCGTGCTGATATATTGAACGGGTTTAAAGTGGATTTGCCGGGAAACTGGAGAACGTTCCCACTACACCAAGCGAACTCTGTGAAAAGGCACGTGGTTAAACGGGTTAAAATTAGATATTTCACCAATAATGCAACTGGCCGTTCAGTGGGTTTTTGTGTTGTGTGTTTTTGTGTTTTTTTTTTTTTTTTTTTTTTTTTTTTTGGTTTGTGTGTGTGTGTTTTTGTTTTGTGTTGTTGTGTGTGTTTGTTTTTGTTGTTGGGGGAGGGGTATAGAGCTGGGAACTCGTTCATTTATGGACGATTTGCGTCTTGTTACGCAGACGATGACTGGACGATGTTTCGCCGGGAGATGTTTGCTCAGTGGTTGATTAAAAAGTCTTCACCCATCGGCAGCGAACAGATCGTTGTTGAAATTGATGAATCCCAATTCCGATTATCCTTATCGGTTATCATTCGGATTATTCTTTTTATAGATTTATATTATTTTGTTTACTTTTTCGGTCTACGCAAACTTACGACGATGCTTAATTCTGATGTTGGCAAAAATTTGGCGACAAACGTAAACCAGCAAGTTTGATGTTGGAGACAGTTTTCAAAATCCCGCCAAGGCCGTACTATATGCTAGGTTTTACTATCAAGTATACAGTCGAAATTCCAACGATATCCGAGATATCACGTGCACGCAAGCACAGTGTAGTTTACAATAGCGCTAGGAGAAAATTCACCTTAAGCAAGGAGGTAGAAACAGGTTCTTTTCAGAAGGGTGTCTTACCCCTACCTGCCCACCAGCGGCCGAGCGGTAAAGTCGCTGAACACTGGGTAGTTCGGTCCGAGGTTCGAATCCCGCGAACGGGCTGGCTGCATGGGCATTTTCGTGGTTTTCCCCATGTGTAACGTGTATACGAGCCAGTTTCCCTTAGAAAGTCCTCCACGAAGGCATCCGTCCCTTTAGGCAGATAGCCCTCGTGTGATTTGCCATAGATAAATACACCACACCACACCTTACCCCTATCTCTTCCCCTACCAACAGCCTCTTGAGAGGACTATGGGCTCGCTGCCTATTTAGAGTGCTCCCATGCCGCACAGACATTATACAATTACAAACATCCGTGACTTCTCTCGGATTCGAACACAAAAACAAAGAATGCCGCCCAACCGGTATAGTGGCAAGCGTCGCTGATTGCCGTGCCGAAGGGATCGGGTTTGAATCCGAGAGAAGGCACGGATGTTTGTAAATGTATAATGTCCGTGCGACATGGGGGCACTCTAAATAAGCATGCAGCCCATGGTCCTCTCGAGAGGCTGGTGGTAGGGGAAGAGGTAGGGGTAAGAAACCCTAGGACCTGTCCCGCTGATGTGCTCACCATCAAAATTAGGAGCAGAACTGAGTTAAATCGCAGTGTCACCTGTAAGGTGCTCAAGGACCGGATCTCAAGTTACCAAGGACAGGAGTAAATTTACGCTCCTTGCCACAAGAAATTCCGTGGTCTCGGGCCGACTATAGGTCAGACAAGTGAGCATTAGCAACAACACAAAGAACAGAGAGAGACTCTCGTACATGATTTCCAAATGTTCAAAAATAAAATGATAAAAATCATATCTATATGTTTGGGGTGTTATATTTCAGTCATTGTAATGGTCGCAGTTTTTCCTTTAGTTGCTCGGTCATGTTAAGTTATAATCATAAGATTTATGGTTACATAATCCTAATGGTGTTGGTGTGTGGTGTATTTAATTATGGCAAAGCACACTAAGGCTATCTGCCTAAAGGGAGGGATGCCTTCGTGGAAGATTTTCTAAGGGAAACTGGTTCATATACACGTTACACATGGGGAAAACCACGAAAACACCCATGCAGCGAGCCCGTTCGCGGGATTCGAACCTCGGACCGAACTACCAGTGTTCAGCGACTTTACCGCTCGGCCGTTGGTGGGCCATAATCCTAATGAATGTTGAATAGTTGTTAATTCATAATATAGAGAACTAACTTTTAAAACATTAATTATTAATACATGAATCGTACATAAATACTGTATTTTATTTCGTTTCACCTTCATAGATAGCGTATTTTACATACAAAGAAAAGAAACGAACCGACTGGGATTCAAATTCTCTTCGACTAGGCTTTCGGTACAATTTATTTTAAAAGCCAACATGGTAAAGTGGAACAACTATTGTAAAGAGGCTGCTTGTTTGAGAATTATTATTACTATTCAAGAGCCTTATTTGGTTTCCTGACATTTTTTAGAGTACTTGCATTAGTACTTAAGCGCGCATGAAAAAAGTTAATAATAACAATAACGTCCATAGGGGCATTTTTTTAACTTTTCATGTGTTACCTTTATTTATTAAATATCATGTTCTTCGCCCTTAAACCATAAAATTCAGTTCAACGGCAATATCACAAAATAATTTTAAAATGAGCACAGCTCCAGCATTTCCGATACACAATCTGGCGCGCTGGGCATAAAAAGTTTTTTTTTTTTTTTTTTCAGTCCCTTTGAAGTCGTTGAGTTTTTAGTTAAAAATTCGTTAATGTTTTACAAAATACGAAATCGATCATAAAACAAATTTCAAATTTCAAATTTGGGCTTCCACATGCCCATATTCGCAGTAGGATTACGTCATTAAAAATTTCGACGGCTCTATGTACCGTTGTTTTATCACAATGCGAGATACATACATACATTTATGCTGATTCTCCATTATTTAATTTCTTTAAATATAATACAGGGTTGCAATATTCGGTGGCTACAGTTGGAAAAGTGAATGACCATTTAAATTTTTCAAAGCAAAATGCCAAAACGAAATTAATAGCTCTTCCGGGCTAAAAGTATTCACGCAGACAACCAATTTCTCTGTCATATTTTGTATAAATGCATTTAATTACGATTAATTTTAATTTGAAAGCAGCTAAATATCTGGAAACAGTATTAAGTTCTCATCATCATAATTTTCATGCTAGGATATGCATGTATACTTGGTGTAGTGGTAATTTAGATTTATTTTATATTGAAATTAAGGCCAATTAATTTTATCATAAAAATTCGCTTCAGAACCGAGAAATTTTACATAACAATCGGAACAAAAAGCTAAATGAGTAAGAAATGAATAACATAATGGAAGAAACGTTAGTACCTCAACATATAAGGTATTTTTCCCTCCTTCTTAGCGTGCTTTCGGGGTGTAATCGTTAGCAAACTCAGCTCGTAATCAGAGGTTCGAGTCCCGGCGAGGACATTGCTCATTTTTCATCTCTTCTGCTTCGAAACAACGTAATGTCTCTACAAAGAAAGTTTCTAATTTTAAAAATGAAACCAGAAACATCATTTGAATTAAATTTCTTTGATTGTAATTTATATACATGCTGAGTAAGTTTTATAATGCAACATTTAAAGGAATATCTTCAAATAAAATAATTGAAAATGAGAAAGGTTAAAATTTATTTCGAATTTTTGACTAACATTTGTGTAACTATATTCGAAGCATTTTCACTGAATTCTATGATGATCCGTAAGTCATCTGTAAAATCTTTTCTTCCTGTAAGTCTTCACTGTTGACTTTTTGTTGAGCCTGGAGTTCATCATAGATATTATGACTTTTTTCTGCTGTTGAAGTCTCTTGTACTTTTTAAAACCAAATATTATGGTGGAGACGAAAATGTCAATGAGTTCATAAACTGTTAACAAAGAGAATCCCAACCACACACCGCTGTAACCGCCAAGGTAACTGAATAGTTCCATGGTCTAGAAAAGAAAATAATCATAAGTAAAATGTTAAAAAAAGTGAAATTACGTTATATTAAAATTTTGTTTTAAAAAAATCTGAATGTTTTCAGATTTTATATTACGCGCAAAGGGACTTTCCTTTCAACGTTTTTAGGTTACCTTTATTTATTAAATACTAAGGAACACCAAAAATTAAATTTAAAATCTGCAGTTTTACTCTGCAGGACAACTTTATCAAAAAAATGTATTATATATAAAAAAACGGTACTTTTCCGTTTCGCCGGCGCAAATCTCGCCAAGCAGACTTCATTGGCGACAACATACAGTGTACACATAAAATTGTTAACAAATGTTAGTTCTAAGAATTTTTTATTTTGAAGGCATAAACATTTTAATGTGGTTTAAAATTTCGTAAAAAGGCAATAAATAAAGACAATAAATTTGTAAAAAGACATTAATTTAAGAATTTACTATGCTATCATGGTTCAACATCCTGATTCGACGGTTCGTATCACATGACCCATGTGATCTCATCTCACATAAACTACGCTACAAAAATATAATTCTCTCAGTAATTATCTACATTAATTTCAAGTTAAATCTTAATTTGGAATACAAGTTTAAATGCAAGAATTATTTCAATTCGTACGAATAGCTTACTCAGAAATTATGTAAAATTACAGTGCCTTACTTCGCTAGTGCATTCTCATTAGAATTTATGAATTTAACCCTTGATTTTTGACTTTTCTACATTTTTGCTTTCGGGTGGCGGTGTGATTGCATCCTAATTGACTTAATTACCGCGAATGGTCTTAGGGCATAAAATTTTATTAGCTTTGTAAATATTCTATGTAATTTTATGCCAGTATTGAAAGAAACAATCAATCTGTTAAGAAATGGCTGCGACTTGTTTTGAAAATGAGGCGTAAAAGGTTACCAGCGAAGATATTTCGTTTGGCATCCGTTGTACCATTATTGGCGACTTTATCGTTTGCGCCGGCAAAACGGAAAAGTACCAAAAAAACTACAATGAAATAAGCAATATCCCTTGATATAAATGTTAATTATCCTAATCAATAAATTAACCAACTTCCCGTTGCAAAATCTTAAGAATTCGAAGGGTATAAAGGAAGTTAAGAACTTTGTTTCCCTAAAAAAACATACAAAACTTTTTATATAATTAAAATTATATGTAATTAAAACATAATATAAAAAAATTACAATGAAATAAGCCAGAGAGGGGGGGAACCAGAAAATTCTTTCTGTTGTGCCTCGCGAGACACATGCGTGTCAGAATAAGAAAATTGTGATGTGCGTGTATAATTAATAATATTTTATCTCGTATTTTCAACAGCCCGCAGTCCAGTATACAAAGCATTGAATGAAAAACTGTTGCCCAAATCACATTTGTAAAAGAATGAAACTATTCAAAATGATGCAATTTAATTTTTAAAAAATCTGATTCTAATTTTGAAGAAAATCACTTCGAGGTGCACTAGCTCTTATCTAGATGGACCTACGTATCAAATTTCGTAGCCCCGAGTCTATTAGCTTACGCTCAGTACGAACGAAAGACACAGAGAGAGAGAGAGACAGACTCTTTCTTTTATTATATGTAGAGATAGAAATAGTGTTCTTCGCACTTAAACCATAAAATTCCATTCAACAGCAATATCGCAAAAGAATTAAAAAATTTTGTACTTTCGTGAGAAACTTGCCGGGAAATTTAAAAATTCTATCTTCGTGCACTTTTTTCAGTTTCGGCCAAGAATAATTCACTTGGCGACCATCTTAATTTATAGCAACCTATTTTCCTTTACTTATTTTCTTTGTGCATCAGCGGGAAAGAAAGGCGCACGTTCATACTTTCAAATAATTTTCACGAAGTGCGTAAAACGGTTACAGCCGAAAACATCGCGGCAAGAACATCGCGGATGAAAACGTCGCGGAGAAAACAACGCAAGGCGAAAACGTCGTGCTACAAAACATCGTGGAAGAAAACATCGCAAAGAGAAAACATCGCAGTCCTAAAACATCGTGGTACAAAACATCGTCGTCGAAAATAAATCAGTTCAAAACAGTTTAAAAATATCGTCGTCGAAAATATCGCGGTAAAAAAAAAAGTGTCTACAAATCATCGCATGGCGATATCATCGACGACATGCTTTTTTTCAGGCTTTAATAACTGTAAATGGATATTCCCATAATAATTGTGAGCGCAAGATGGAAAGAAGGATAATTTTTGCTTTTATATTTTTTATTCACTAATAAATTTTTGCTGAGAAAATAAGAAGGAAACTTGAACATAGAAAATTAATGCAACTTATAGTACTCAATAGAATTTTAAACCGACATAGTTAACTAACAAAGGCCATAAATAAATCATTTTTTATAAAGTTTTTACTGGTAATTTTTCATGAAAAGTATAATCTATAAGTTGCATTTAATTTTCTATGCTTAAGTTTCCTTCTTACTTTTTCAACAAAAATTTACTAGTCAATAAAAAACTGTGAAAATAAAAATTATTCTTCTTTACATCTTGCGCTCACAAATCTTTATGGGAACCATATTTCCATTTACAGTTATTAAAGCCTGAAAAAAAGCATATCTGTGATGTTATCGTCATGCTATGATTTGTAGATACTTTATTTTTTAACACGATGTTTTCGACGACGATGTTTTTAAACTGCGAAGTTTTTGAACTGCTTTATTTTCGACGGCGATGTTTTGTACCAGGATGTTTTAGGACTGCGATGTTTTCTCTTTGCGATGTTTTCTCCCACGATGTTTTGTAGCACGACGTTTTCGCCTTGCGTTGTTTTCTCCGCGACGTTTTCATCCGCGATGTTTTTGCCGTGAAGTTATCGGCGGACACCGCATAAAACACATTTGGCGTTATTATAGCTCATGAAGAATATGCCAAACTTCAAAATGCGCCAATATGTAAATTAACGTATATCTTAGTATATATAATATGACGAAATTGACATACAGTGGATGGACAAAAATATGGAAACACCTTGTGAAATGCATGTTTGAAAAGAAAGATTGATTTTAATGAAATATGTAGGTGGCGCTGGCGTTTTTGACTACTGACGCCACCTATACAACTTCGTAAATGTGCTAAACAGTTCAGTTGTTTGTCGGAGTACTGTTATGTGAGGTTGTCATTGCATTATGTCAGAGTTAACAGACTTCGAACGTGGGCAAATTGTTGGAGCACGTATGGTAGGTGCTTCTGTAAGCAAGGTAGCCGAGGTCTTTAGTGTTTCAAGAGGTACTGTATCGAAGATTTATTCCGCATATTTGAAAAGCGGAAAAACATCATCTGCTAAATCACAGCGCGGACGAAAGTGTGTCCTGAGTGATCCATGACAGACGATCATTAAGGGTAATTGTGACGAAAAATAAGAAGACCACAGCTGCAAAAGTTACTGCTGAAATGAATGTTGTGTTACCGAACCCTGTGAGTACCAAAACAATTAGAAGGGAGCTTCATAAACAGGGAATTGCTGGCCGTGCTGCAATTGAGAAGCCACTCATCAGTGATGCTAATGCCCGTAACAGGAAAAGGTGGTGTTTAAGTCATAAAGCCTGGACTATAGAGCAGTGGAAGCGAGTAATATGGTCTGACGAGTCTTCTTTCACATTGTTTCCCACTTCTGGCCGAGTTTACGTCTGGAGAACGCCATCTCCAGCCTATAATACAGACTGCTTGTTGCCAAGAATGAAATATGGGGGGGGGGGGGGTTCTGTTATGGTTTGGGCAGCCATATCGTGGTTCTCTGCTAGCCCCATGATAACTGTGTCAGGGCACATGACTGCCAAGACTTATGTGAACATTTTGGCCGATCAAGTTCATCCCATGGTACAAACTTTGTTCCCCGATGGTGATGGTGTCTTCCAAGACGACAAAGCTCCTGTTCACACAGCTCACATTGTCCAGGACTGGTTTTCTGAGCACGAAGATAAGTTGTCCCATCTCCCCTGGCCACCACAGTCACCAGACCTGAATATTATCGAACCTTTGTGGTCTACATTGGAACGGAAAGTGCGTTTTCGTTATCCACCGCCAACATCGTTATCTGAACTTGCCACCGTTTTGCAGGAAGAATGGTATAATATTCCCTTGGCAAACATACAGGAACTGTATTTATCCATTCCGAGAAGACTGCAAGCTGTTTTGGATGCCAACGGGTTTCCTACACCATATTAAGCAAAGAAACAATGTTTTTTTAAAGGTGTTTCCATATTTTGTCCAACCCCTGTATATCTTAATATATAAATTTAGAAAAAAAAAATCTCTAATTTTTTGCTAGTATGCTTACTAATCCATCTACTTTAAGATGATGGTAAACGTTTTATTATTATAATTCAAACTCTTTTTAGGAAAATTTATAAAAATTATTTTAAAATACAAATTTTTTAAATAAAATCACAAAAATGGGCGAATTCTATTTGGAGTGAATCTAAATTTCGAATTCTGGAAGAAGGAATCAAGTAATTTTAATAAAAAAGACATACTAATGAATATACACCAAATCCAATAAACATGGAGGAGCTAAAATTTCGAAACCTAGTTTTTAAAAAAAAAAACTACTCCTGCGATTTTCACAAAACTTGCCACTTTGCATAATTTGAGTTGTAGAATCAAACTGGGACAAAATTGGTATTTTATTTCATAAAAGCCCGAATTTTGTGTCAAAATAACTATGTTAGAACAATGCTATATATAAATCTAATATACATCACAAGTCTTGCTTTTGAGACATGGAAAACGCAAGTTAAATTTAGACAATCCGTCCAGTAGAACGGAAGATATAGAACCGACTTTTTTTTTTTTAGTCCAAAGGGATTTGAGTCCCGAAGGACTATTACTTTCGTTTTGGCATTTTGCGTCGGACTCCTATAAATGTCGGTTCACTTTTCAAACTGTTGCCACAAAATGTTAGAGTCCTGCATTATATTTGAAGAAATTAAATAATGAAAAATCTGCATAAATGTATGTATATTTCTCG